TCTGGTTCATCTGTTTGGTCTGTCCGTCTCCTTCTGGATGATAACTGGAGGTGAAGTGGAGGTGGATGTTGAGGGCCTTACCAAGTGAATGGAAAAAGTGAGAAACAAACTCCGGACCCCTGTCGGAGGTGACGTGGGAAGGAACTCCATGCTTAGAGAACACATGGAGGAGGAATAGCTTGGCCAGTTCTGGAGAGGTGATGGTATCGTGGGTAGGAATGAAAATGCACTGTTTGGACAGGCGGTCCATGATGACCAAGATGGAAGTGAATCTGGAAGAGGAGGGTAGCTGTTTGATGAAGTCCATTGAGACGGAGTTCCAAGGACGTTCGGGGATGGGGAGTTGTTTGAGTAAGCTGTAAGGCTTGTGATGGGGAACTTTGGCACGGGCACAAGAAGTACAGGAGGACACATAGCTCTTGATGAAGTTATGGATGCCCGGCCAGGTATAATCATGACGGACTAGATCCAGAGTCCAGTTTTGGCCAAAGTGTCCGGAGAGCTGGTGGTCGTGTTTGTCTCGCAAAACACAGAGACGAAGATTATTGGAATCTGGAATGTAAATGCAGTTGTCCAGCCTTAACAGGCCTTTGGCATCAACAGACCAGCAGGAATTAGGGAGGTTGGGGGAAGCGAGATGAGAAGAGATTGTGGTATTGGAGGAGAGGGAGGCTAGAATGTCTCGATGGAGAGCCTCTGTGTCAACGAGTACGGCTGCCTGGATTACTGTGGCAGCTAGGAACGTGGCTCATAAGGATGCAGTGAGCTGCTCCGAAAGTGAAGACCGCTCAGAAGTTCTGTGGATTGATGCGAGCATAGTCCATATCCCCTTCTTTGGGATAGACGTCCCAGCATCTAGTCAACGCATCTGGTTTCACTCCGAGTCTTCCAGGACAAAATTGGACAGTCATGTGGAACTGGGAGAGGAACTCTGACCAGCAGGCTTGCCGCTGGGCCAAGAGTTTGGTGGTAGAGAAATACTCGAGGTTCTTGTGGTCGGTGATGACGTTGATTGGGGTTCCTGAACCTTCAAGGTAGTGACGCTGTCACGGGGATTTGCCAGTGTACCATAAATGAGCCAAATCCCGCGATTCTACTACCCTCAGCAAGCACCTCACATGTAGCCTATATCCCCTCACACTCCTTACACACTTTCCTATTTTTCCTTATTTTTCTGATTCCATTTCCGGTGTCTAGAGCCCGATGTTTCCACTTCCTTATCGTCATGTGATGCTCTTTCCTTATTTGTTTTATCGGACTCTTCCGTGACACTGTACAGTTTGGTAGAGAGTATCAGCACCAGACTCTACTGGACCAATATACCCCACTTCAGACCTGACTTGTAGTGAGATCTTTATCCCCCCCTCTTTCCTGTCGCGAGTCTAGGCGATAGACCCGTTACAACGCCACGATCGGAACACATTGTGAATGGCGAGCAGTTCCTTATCATGGGTGTTGTAATTGAGCTCCGGTGCCGAGAGTGTTCTGGAGCGGAAAGCGATGGGGTGAATCTCTCCGTCATTGCAACGGATGGACAGGATTCCGGAGATTGCATAATCGGAGGTGTCGGTTTCTACAATGAGAGGGGCATTGAAAGCAGGGAGAATGGCTGAAGAGGCTGCAGGGGCACAAGACCTCTGAACCTGAGCAGACCACCCTCACACACACACACAGGTAACGAAAGGGGAGGAGCGAAACCGCAGCGTTGACAGACTCACTGGTGGACCTTCCTACTACTAGGTCCGGAAACTCAAACTTCCGTGAAAAACCAACTAAACCAACTGGTGGACCTTCCCTAGGGCCAAGCAAGGCGTCCTGCCTTCTCAACGAAACCTAACTGAACTGATTCACACGCTCCCAGATGCGGTACTGTTGGACTGGCACTAAAGCGGGGAAGTGTCACGGCCATGCATTCCGGCCCGTTAGCTGCCCGTCCCGATGCCGCCCGAGCCCGTTACCGCTATGCGAGTGTGAGCGCGAGCCCCGACCTCAGCCCTATCCTCCCTGAGGACCCCCTGCTCACTCCCCCACTTGCCCCTAGGCTCCCCTACACTTGGCCGACTCCCCCACAGCCACACCGACCTCCCTGCCCTGAGTCCGCCTCTGGTACCGACCTAGCGTGACTCCGCGACATCGCCTACTCCGCTATGATATCATCGCCGCTATCGCGGCCCTACACCCCTTCGTTTATTTATCTGTTATTGTTTGTTTTGACCCTCGGTCATTGCCGGCCGCGGTGCGGCCAACCCCGCTCTTTGTTCCTATTTGCTTCCGGACCCTTCGGCCTTCGGCCCGGGTCCGCTTCTATTCATTCCACCTTCATATATATATCCTGTATACTACATTATAGTACCTTAGCTCTAATATCGACTTGACCACGACCCCAAGCCCTGACCCCAACAAGGCAGCCCCAGTAAGTTCGAAATGAGGGCCAAGAGACAACTAGGGGGCACAGCACTCCCTTTAGAGTTGCTGAGGCCAAATGCCCTACCCTCGGGCCTTGTCTGAGGCATCGCGGCCATCGCGGCCCTTAGCGGTCCGCATCAGCGACCTTCGGTGCCCGACCCCGGATCAGTATCTAACAGGAAGGAGGAGAAGATCTCTTATCATACTAAATACATGTTTGTATATAACCAAAGCTAATGTCCGAGCAATCCGACGGTGTTAGGGATGGACAGAAATGGACAGAACAACATAGAACAAAGAAAACAACAGAAAACATGATAAATATATGGGTGCGGCCACACAATCGATAGAATTCGACGATCTCCACAACGGCTGCACCAAATCACCCGGTGCTGGACTTGTTCGACTCGTCTTGACGGTAGCTTTCTAACGATATAAAATGCGTCTGGATCGGAGAAGACCTGGGGGAGATATGGTGAAAATATTATAGAAGCGGCCCGATATGGAAACTAAGTGGCCATAACCTGGTCCGGAAAAATATCAAAAAATACAGAGATGATGGGGGAAGTGCAATGGGCTGGGGGATTGTGTGTCGGGTCCCAGGTAGCATCTGTAGACCGTTATATGGTGGTGTTTGGGTACTACCGGCTCATCCCTCCCACATACAGGCCTAGCTCTTAATTGTGGTCCCTCACAATTTACCCAAAAACATCCAATGCACATCTCCATCGCTCCAAGAAAGTCGCAGTCCAACATAAAAACAAAGAATTATCCACTTGAAACCATCCAGAAAATTTCCGCACTCCATACTCTCGGTCCCTCAAATCAAATTTGGCTCCTTCATCTCCACTGACTCCATGCCATCATGCACAACAGCAGCAATGACAACCACGGTGAAACCCTCGTCAAAACCACTCCCCAGTTGCTTGGCTGAGGCTTGACCACCACTCTCGGCTCTAATTCCCAACTCCACTCAACTCCCAGACCAAAACCACGCCAATAATCCGTCCTGTGCACATCATCTCCGATGTGGAACGCTGTCTTGTCCACACATTCTGTCTCTCTGGGATCACTAAGCCATGCATCAGGGCTGCGCCACTCGTTTGGCAGATCTTTTGTTGTCAGGGGACGACTCCCGGGTCCCCATGACCCTCCCCTATGGTCCACAGCCTCTGGTCTGGCCAGCCCTATCCAGGGCACAATCCTACTGTGGGTAAGAAGATGGTATCAAAGAAGGGCAAGTATATACACTTGCCTACTGTGGGTAAGAAGATGAGAAGGAAGCTAACTTCTCATCTTCCCACAGTGGCCACAATATCAGCAAAACTTCCGGGGATACCCGGAAGTCACATGAAGGGATAGGGACCGGGCCTGGAGCATGCGGCGCGCGGAGCGTGTGCGCATGCAGGAAGCGCAGCGGGTGGATGCGGGTCCGGATGCGGGTCCGGGTCCGGGCTAGTCAGGGTGTGTGCCCTGACATTCGTCCACTGTACTTGACCCACTCCGTGACTAGTACTCGCTTGCCCTGCACCGACCTTCTCATCTGAAGTAAGATCTGGGCCAGGAGGCCTGAACTCTTTGAACTCAAACTCATTTCCGTCACTATTCTCGGACTCCATGTAAAGACTGCTCCACGCACTAGGAGGGTCTTTAGACTGGGCCACTGCCTGTTCTTCACTACCATTCACCCATGTCTCACTAATTCTGCCACACAAAACTTGACCAAGCTCAAGGCCAGGAGGCCTAAGCTCTTTAAACTCTTGCTCTCACCCTGCTTGTTCAGAACTGCTGTCAAAGACAATGCCATCATACTTGGGAATGCCATGCAAAACATTGTCAGGAGTCCACAAGTCACTCGGGATCTCTGATCTCTGATCCCTCAATCCCTCACATGTGACCACCCGAAATGTTTGACTTGTCCCATGACCTCCGCTATTTTCATTTCTGACCTCGTCATCAACCATCTGATTCAAACATCCACTAGGACTGAAGCTAGGAGGCTTCTCAACCATGGTAAAGCAGGGGCCAGGAGGCCTAAAGTGAACATCCTGCTCACTACATCCTGAACTATCTGAGCACTCTACGCGCTTTTTGACTATGCTAGAGTGAGGGCTGGGAGGCCTAAGCTCTTTCAACTCGATCTCTCATACTATCGACTTGTCAGGGCACACACCCTGACTAGCCCGGACCCGGACCCGGACCTGCATGTGCGCTCCGCCCCGCATGCTCCGCGCGCTGCATGCTCCGGGCCCGGTTCCCACTCTTCATGTGACTTCCGGGTATCCCCGGAAGTTTTCGCCATATTGGGCCACTGTGGGAAAGTGAGAAGTTAACCTTCTTCTCACTTTCTTACCCACAGTAGTTGTGCCTTGAGACTAGGCTGTTACAGATTAGGCTGTGGGCTATAGAGAGAGGGGTCATGGGGACCCGGGGTCCGTCCCCTGACATGACTCCATCTCGACAATCTTTTCAGGTAAACTATCTGGCATGGAAGACTCAATCGCATCGAACTCATGCAATTGGTACATGTCTGATGTCATCACCACCAATGAACTCCCATCGCTGGTGTCATAGACCATCATTCCAAGTAAAACTCATCCTGAGGTGCCAATGTAGTCATCATGAAATGCACTTGACTCAGCATCGATCTCAAACGGTATGTCACAATTTCCTTCAGGTAGCCTGTTCTGGCTATCCTGAACTTCATCTAGATCCATCGCATCATCAATCAAACCAGCAGGAAACTCCAGCGCAGGAACAATCACGCTCTTGAAGTCTCCAAATCCATGTCCACTGGCCAGTGACTCCGTGTCACACCACTCTTGAACACAATCAATGCCACTCTGTGTCTCGTCAATAGCTTTACTCGCATGACCTCCTGGATTGACAATCAATGTCTGACCACCATCGATACTCAAGTCCACACTTGGAATACCAACATCCTCTCTGGTCTCTGAGTCGAACCCCAGCTCAGCACACATCACACATAAACTACGACGAAGGCCTGGAGGCCTGAGCCCTTTAACCTGGGGCTCTCGCGCTCGGTTGCACTCAATCGTCGCGGTAAGTCTCCCTTCACTGCCTGGTTCCAAAATACTCGGTAATACTCGATCTGCTGACGTGATCTCAGCATCTACATTGCCACAGATGGAGGATCTGTCCATCCATTCCGTCGTACTAGGTGGATCACCCTGATCTGAGGTATCTTTGGGCCGATCGCCACTGCCCTTCATCAGCAAACCTGGTATGGACCTCTCAGAGCTCTCAGAGCTCTGTGAGCAAATTGAGTCTTTTGCTGTGCACCCTCTACACATAGAGTCAAGAAAATGAAATATATATATGATTTTGTTCTCATAAGGATGCTGAAGTGCAAAGATAATATGGATATCCATTTTTGGAAATGCATGTAAAATAGCCATCATCATCACTCGAAAGGCTCATAGAGCTCATAGAGCTTTGTGTTTTTTTTTACTAATGAATGGTCTTCATGTCTCCATGGAATCTGCTGAGTTATCTTGGCACCAGTAGTGCAATGGTAATATGGATATATGTTTCTGTAAATGTGTGGAAAATAGCCATCCTCATCACTCCAAAGGCTCCAAAGGCTCTATGAGCTCTATGATCTCAGCAGGCTCATAGACCTCATAGACCTTTTGTGTTTACTGATGTATCCATGGAATATGCTGAGATACAGCACTTTGTTTATTGCTATTTGTAAAATTTGAGGAAAACTCCAAAATTCAAAACTTTGCACTTTATCTTTCATCTCATTTCTTGCTCAAAACTCATCCAATTTTGATGATTCTATCTATGTGCATTGGAAAGCACTTAAGTGTGGCAATGTAACCATGCATGTTATGTAGGGTATAAATCAGTTTTGAAAAGTGTCCCAAAAAGAGTAAATTTAAAATACAGCCCAATAAAGCAAACAGAAAGCTGATGTATCCTTCAGATATCATCCATACATCCATACCAAGCCTTTTGAATTGTCAAAATTGGGTGAGTTTTGGGTGAGAAAGGAGATGAAATATATAGTGTAAATTTTTGGATTTTGGAGTTTGTGTTAGAATGGGCGGATTTGGACGACTCCGGAGTGGAATCAGAGACTTAGCGTGGAAGGACCTCGGCCTCAGCGACTCATGCGGAGCGCTGTGCCATTGCTGGTTGTCCTAGGGGTCCCTAATTTCGGATCTAGCAGAGGGAAAGTCTCTTGGGGGGAATTCATGTCGATTTCGGACTGAGGTTACAAGTTACTAGGTACATTGTATATAAGGAGGGGTCCGGAATCAAAAGGAACAAGGGTAGGACAAAAGAAGACAAAGGGAGATGGAAAGAGGAACAACACTGAGGGTCAAGTGTTTGACTCAATGGTGTTTCCCAAAGGAGGAATGAAGGGCCAAGACCCAAGAAGGAAGGAAGGAGGATGGGAGTCGGGAATGGCTAGCTGACTGAATAGAAAGGAAGCAGCAGCCCAAATAGGAATGAGGGAGAATAGCGGAATTGAAATGGACAATGCAATAGTTGCAAGGTCCGGAGTAAGTCCGGAAAGTCCGAACTCGGAGGTTAAACTCCGGAATATTGGCAAAGGTAATTAAATGGAATGAGCTAACCAATACAATGGGTATAAGTGGAGGTGGGGTCAAAGTCCGAGGTCAGAACTAAGACCGGAGGTTCCAGAGACGAGACGTGAACGGGATACCGGAGCAGAGGTCCGGAGTCGGGAGCATAGGTTTTGCATACTCATCTGGAAGGTGTCGAGGTTGGGGTCAGACCCGGAATGTTCCGGAGTCGGACCAAAGGTGGTGTCCGAGCCGGAGGTGGGATAACCTCTTGGGAGTCGGCAAGGAGAAAGTGATGGAAGGGAAGTAGGGCTCTGGAAGTTGGAGTTCGGAGTTCCAGGAGCCCGGAGCGGAGGTCGGGATTGTATGGATATGACAGTTTGCCTTGAAATTTTCAGATAGCAAAAATTTTATGATAGAAAGGTGATTTCAATTTTTTTAAATTATTTCTAAATGTCCTGAAATTTCTCTCCCTAACATTCCCCAAGATTTCTGAATTTTCCCTAATTTTCCCTGACTTTTTTTCAAGTTTTTAGAAACCCCCCAGTTCCCCCTCATTTTCCTCCCATTTCCCCCTTCATCCCCCCCCTCAATTCCCTCTGCAATTCTCCCCCCATCCCCCCTTCAATTTTCCCCCCATTCCCCCCCCCTAATTCCTCCTTAATTTTCTCCTCATTTCCCCCTCATTCTCCCCTCCAAATTTCACCCATTCCCCCCCTCATTTCCCCCCTCAATTACCCCCCATTTCCTCCCTCATTTTCCCCCTCATTTTCCCCCTCATTCCCCCCCTCATTCCCCCCCTCAATTCCCTCCTCAATTCCCCCCTATCCCCCTCTTCAATTGTCCCCTCATTCCCCCCCCAATTCCTCCTTAATTTTCTCCTCATTTCCCCCTCATCCCCCCCTCCAAATTTCACCCCATTCCCCCCCCTCATTCCCCCCAATTCCCCCCCATCCCCCCCCTTCAATTTTCCCCCTCATTTCCCCCTCATTGCCCCCTCCAAATGTCACCCCATTCCCCCCCTCCATTTTCCCCTCATTTTCCCCCTCATTCCCCCCTCATCCCCCCCTCCAAATTTCCCCATTTCCCCCCTCATTTTCCCCCCATTTCCCCCCTTTAATTTCCCCTCATTCCCCCTCCCAATTCCCCCCTCATTTTCTCCCTCATCCCCCCCCAATTCCCCCCCATTCCCCCCCATTCCCCCCCCCTCAATTTTCCCCTCATTTTCCCCCCTATTTTCCCCCTCATTTTCCCCCTCATTCTCCCCCCATTTCCCCCCCCATTTCCCCCCCATTTTCCCCTAAGTAATTTCGGATTAACCCTATTTATAACCCTAAATTCAGTGTATATACCAATTGGGTTGTGTGCCCTTGGTGTGCAGTGCCACATGAGGGGTTGCAAGTTAAGTAGACTGTTGTCCAGTTGACCCTAGGGTAGGGACTTGACTGTGGCCAGTCACATGATACTGTAGTCAAGCTTTTTATTTTTTTGAATTTTTGCGAATTAAACATGGGCTCAGGGTGCTCATAGAGCTAACAGTCCTCTGTGGGCAAATACATCTCTATGAGCTCTCAGAGCTTTGACTACTTTTCAGAGCTCTCAGAGCTTTGAGCTACTTTCCCAAGCTCTCAGAGAGGGGGACCTGCAATTTTCAAAGTTCATAGCTCTGTGAGCTCTGAGAGCTGTCATACCTCCTGGTTGGATTTGCTGATGAAGACCCCATGCTAGAGCCCGGAGATGGGATCTATGCCGCGATCATCCCCCCAGAATGGGGACACAAGCTGAGAGCGACCACCACACCCTCCCAGTGGATGGCCCAAGAAGCCCATGACCCGGAGGCGGAGCCCGTACCTGTCAGGGACGGCTTGGGGAAGGCAGAGGTGGTGGTGTAGTGCTCGGCGCTGGCGGCCCAGACAGCAGTGGGGCGGTGGGACCATATAGTGGGCAGCCCTCACTTGGGCTTACGTCCCTGTGTGGCTTCTTAGGCTGAAGCAGGAAATGTATTGTTATTAGGGTGGGAAGCCAGACTAAACTAGGGTACTTGCCTGAAGTGGGAAATGAGAAGAAGGTTACTTCTTCGGTCCTGCTTCGGCTTAGTTTATATACATGTGTGAATGGGTCACATGGAGGTGCCACGTCACCCTCGGATGAAGCCGGGTTACTGCGGGTGGCTCCGTGGTCGATCCCGAGTGTTGGAGGGGAAGTACAAGTAGGAGTGCGCAGCGCATCCGGCGTTGCGGTGCCCCTACAGGGTGCTCAGCGTCGGACGCATCCGTGCTACAAGGGTAGGAAAGAAAGAGAGGTCGTCTGTATAAAGATAGAAAAAGAGAAGAAGGAAAGAAGAGAGAATGAGAGGATGAGACAGAAGGAAAAGGAGGTGGCAGCGTGCCCTGACAGTACCGTTCGAAGCATTGGTGCCAGAGCAGTACCAGGATTTCTGGGACGTGTTCTCCAAAGAGGCCTTCGATTGACTGCCTCCCTGGAAACCCTGGGACCACGCCATCGACCTAGTGCTGGATGCCAAGCTCCCTAGAGGGAAGACCTTCCCACTCTCACGGCCAGAGCAGAAAGAGCTGGACGAGTTTCTGTGAGAGAACCTGCAGAATGGGCGCATCTGACCGTCCAAGTCCCCAATGGGAGCCCCAGTCTTCTTTGTTAAGAAGAAGGACGGGTCACTACGCCTGGTTCAGGACTACCGGAAGCTGAATGAGATCACAGTAAAGAACTCGTACCTGCTCCCGCTCATTTCTGATGTCCTCGCCTGCCTCCGCAATGCCAAATACTTCTCAGCACTGGATCTGCGCTGGGGGTTCAACAACATCCGAATCAAGGATGGTGATGAGTGGAAGGCCATGTTTGCGACCAACCAGGGGCTGTTCGAGCCCATGGTGATGTTCTTCGGGCTATGCAACTCACCTGCAACCTTCCAAACCATGATGAACGATATCCTCCGGGATTTCATCGACTGGGAGGTTGTCATCTGTTACATGGATGACATCCTCATCTTCACAACTACCCTAGAGGAGCACCAGAGGGTCATCCAAGAGGTCCTGGAGATGCTGCGAAGGAGGAAGCTCTTCCTGAAGCCAGAGAAGTGCAAGTTCGAGCGGATGCAGATCGAGTACCTCGGACTTGTCATCTCTGAAGGGAGTGTCACGATGGACCCTGTGAAGGTCCGAGGAGTCCTCAACTGGCCCACCCCAACCATGGTAAAGGAAGTACAGTCCTTCCTGGGGTTTGTGAACTTCTACTGCAGGTTCATCAAAGACTTCTCAGAGAAGGCCCGCCTGCTTCACGCACTGACCCATAAAACCAAAGTCTGGAACTGGGGCCCTGACGAAGACCATGCCTTCCATACCCTTAAGGAAGCCGTCACCACTGCCCCTGTCCTCTCCTTCCCCACCAATTCCGGCTGCTTCAGGCTCAAGTGTGACGCCTCCAACTTCACAACCGGTGCAGTTCTCTCCCAGCTCCAGTCGGACAGGGAGTTCCACCCAGTAGTGTTCATGTCCAAAAGCTTCACGGATGTGGAACAGAACTACGAGGTATACGACAAGGAGATGCTCGCAATTGTCCGAGCCCTTGAAGAGTGGCGGCACTTCCTGGAAGGTGCCAAGGAGAAGGTCGAGGTTTACATGGACCACCGCAACCTGGGGTACTTCTGCATGGCCCAGAGGCTGAACCAACGTCAAGCACGGTGGTCCCTCTTCCTCTCCCACTTCCACTTCACCCTCGTCCACCGCCCAGGGAAACTCATGGGGAAACCGGATGCGCTCTCACAATGTGCTGACCACCCGAAGGGGAGAGACGACAACGAGGGACTGACGCTCCTCCAGCCAGGCTGGTTTGAGGCCCGTGTGACAGAGGCAGTCTCAGTGGAGGGTGAGGAAGCAGATATTCTGGAGAGGATATGAGAAGCGAAGGATCATGATGAGCGGGTGGTGAAGGCCATGAGGGAATTGGGAGAAGGGACACTGAGGTCGGACGAGTGGGAAAAACAGGGAGAGTTGGTCCTCTACCGGGGTAGGGTGTATGTTCCGAAAGACCCACAACTCCGCCACGATCTGGTATGGCTACACCATGACACACAGGCGATGGGGCACCCAGGGCGATGGAAAACCTTGGAGCTTGTCTCCCGCAACTACTGGTGGCCCCGGATGGCAGAGTATGTCGGGCAATATGTACGTGGATGCGACACCTGTAACCATGTCAAAACCTTCCCCACACAAAAGGTTGGGAAGCTCACCCCAAATAAAGTCCCCACCCACCGCTGGCAGGTGATCTCAGTAGACATGGTGGGAGAGCTCCCAGAGTCGAAGGGATATAATGCCATCCTAGTTGTAGTGGACCGCCTGTCCAAACGTATCCACGTGATCCCTACTATGACGTCCGTGGATTTGGCTGGTGTCGCCCGACTCTTCCTGGAGCACATCTGGAAGCACCATGGGCTCCCCAAAGAGATCCTCAGTGATAGGGGAAGCGCCTTTGTCTCGTGCTTCTCAAGGGAACTCACAGACCTCCTGGGGGTCAAACTAACCCCTTCAACACCCCACCACCCCCAGACTGATGGACAAACGGAATGGGTCAACCAGGAGATTGAAGCCTATCTCTGGGTGTTTGTCAACCACTGCCAGGACAATTGGGCGGACTGGCTCCCACTGGCAGAGTTTGCCTACAACAACCGCATCCACTCCTCCACCCATCAAACCCCCTTTGAACTTGACACCGGGCAGCACCCCAGGATGGGGATGGAACCCACATGTACGTCCGAGGTAGAAGCCGCTGACGCTTTCTCATCCAGGATGATGAAGATGCAGGAGGAGGCAAAGGCAGCTCTGGAGCACACAGCAGACGAGATGGCCCGCTACTACGACCAAGGCTGGGAGGCAGCCCCCAAGTACCAGGAAGGCGACCAAGTCTGGCTCAGCACCCAAAACTATATGACTGACCGTCTGACCAAGAAGCTGGACCACAAGTGGCTAGGTCCCTTCAAGGTCATCAAAGTCATCTCCCTGGCTGCTGTCAAGCTCCAGCTCACCACATGGCAGAAGGGAGTACACCCAGTCATGTCCGTGATGAACATAAGACCCCACCGCCTGGACGAGATCGCAGAACGACCCCCTGACCCCCGCCCAGGCCCGGAACTCGTAGATGGAGAAGAGGAGTATGAAGTTGAGAAAGTATTGGACTCTAAATGGCTACGCCGGAAACTCTGGTATCTGGTAAAGTTCACGGGCTGGCCAAGCTCAGAGAACCAATGGCTCCAGCAGGACCGCCTAGCCCATGCCCCTGACCAGATTGAGGAGTTCCACAGGACACACCCCCAGGCTCCAGGAAGAGAGAGGGAGAACCGCCTGGCCACTTCAAGGCAAAGCGGCTTAAGGGGGGGGTGATGTCAGGGCACACCCGCCTGACCCGGCCCCAGCTGACCCGGTCCCCTGTCATCCACCTGACCCGGCTCCCCGCTACCCACTCCTTCCCTACTTCCTCCCCCCTTTTCCCTTCCTCCCTTTCTCCCTCCTTTCTCTTTTCTTTCTTTCCTTACTTATTACATGGACAACTTCCCTCCTATCAGTGTACCATTGGCCCGGCTGCAGTACGACATGCCCGGACACACCAGGCACTCCTGGGATCTCTCACGGAGACACCCGGACAGACGTGGCTGTGTGCGCAGATGACGTGGCCTTAACTACATGTATATAAACACAGCCTAAGTGGGAACTGAGAAGCAACCTTCTTCTCACACTTCCCACTTTAGGCAAGTAGGTTACATTCCCCTTGATAATAATAATAACACACTTCCCACTTTAGCCTAAGTGGCCAGGGACCCTTGCCTGCTTCAGGCCCATTGCTATGCACGCTGTAACAGGTCTATCAATCTAGACTTGCAACTCAGGTCTAGGGGGGGTAGGTCTCTCTCTATCTCTCAGGTAGGATGGTCCTTGGGAGTACGGTGCTGATACTCTGTCTAACCTCTAACTAACTGTCTGTACAGTTGTCACAGAAGAGTCCGATACAAATATAAAAGGAAAGTCACATGTGAATGAATGAAAATAGTAAGGAAAATAAAGAAAAAGTCATATCTCCTCAACCACTCCACCAAATCCGACGATCTTGGACTCGTCAGAACCATCTCCACAGTCTCTACAACTCCTACTATTACCACGACTCACCAATCCTAGTCCCTGATGCAGTAGGGGGTGAAATGTGTGATAAGGGTTGGTTTGACCTGCACAGACTTGTCCCCACAACAATGCCTGCACTGCACCCTACTGGGCCCTCAGCCCCGGGCGATATACCTGGATGCTCTCAACCCTGGGTCAGTCCCTGACAGGTTAGCGGAGTAACAGGCTATAACCCAGAAATGGAAAGGAGGGATCGGCCCAAAGGTGAGCTTGCAGGGCAAGCAACTAAATTGCCCAGCGGAGGTGGGAGTGCGCTAGTGGACATCGGAGCTGTCCGGAGGCCTTCAGGGCTCCATACTTAGGGAGGCATAGGTAATATATTGAATTGAGGGGGTGGTGACCATCAGGGGAGCCGGAGGTGATTGTGGAATCCAGAGGCTCTGAGGTTAGTGACGAAGGAGTGGAGGAAATCCGGAAGGACCAGAGGTAGTGGAGGGTGATGGCTGTGGATGGATATGACAGTACTTACCTGAAGTGGGAAATTGAGAAGAAGGCTGCTTCTTCTGTTCCCACCCCAGGTGCTATTATATACATGCAGTTAAGGTCACATGGATGGGGCCACATCATCCCCGCATGCAGCTGCACCACTCTGGGTGTCTCCATGGGAGATCCCGGAGGTGGCTGCTGTGTGGGCAGGGATGCGCATGGCAGATGCAGCAATTGGGGTGTAGTGGTACATAGAGAAAGGGAGGTTGACCATAGAACAGAAATAGAGGGAAAGAGGAAAGAGGAAAGAAGAAAGAGGGAAGAAGGAAAGATGGGGAGCAATGACAGGGGGAAGCGGAGTAGGGCAGGCAGCATGGGGTGCAGTGTGGGGTCAGGCAGGGTATGCCCTGACAGTAACACTGTTTGCTATTCCAAAATTACATGGGCATTATCACACCATATGCCAGTTTCCAAATCCTAGGGCTCCTAGCAGATTGGATGATCTGCGGATATCCGCAACCACATCCAGAAATTCATGGATCCAGTTTTGGATTTTCAGAGGAAAATATCCGTGGTTTTTACTCCATGGATTTGCGGATTATCTGCAGTTTTATCACATGATTTATTGCTTGCAGATATGCAGGAGATCTGAGGCAAATAAGGGTGAAATTCCCCATATTTACTGTAACTCCTACTCTACTGTGGCTTTTGAGAGGATAATATCCACGGTTTCTAGTCCGCAGATAGGTGGATTATCTGTGGATTAAACATATCCCACTTTCCTAGATACCCCTCCTATGTTTCCATATTTTCTCCCAATTTTTTCAAGTCCTATCTAACCACCCAGGCCCGTTATTTCCAAATTTGGCATCTGACACCCATCTTTTGTGCCATTTTCCCCATATCTCTGTCAGTTCTCCACCATATTATCTATAATCCGCGGTTGATCCGCATATCCGCGGATTTTGATCAGGATCCGGACCGATCCGATCCGCTAGGAGCCTACCAAATCCTCTCCAGTGGGTCGAAATTGTGCGTGTCCACAGTTCGCGGTGCGATTGTGGAGCGAGAAATGTGAAAAAAAAAAAAAACTGCTTGAGGAATGAGAAACTCAGGCAGGGTCTCAGCCAATGGCATCATTGGTGGTGAACAAGCAAGAGAGTAGCGGGATCTGCCGCTTCAGGCGGCGTTCCCCAGTTATTATATTCATGGCGTCACGAGGTGAATACGAGGTTGGTTGGTAAGTGTCGTTGTTGCTCCAACACTGCTCTCCAACAGTTTCCCGCGCAGTAAATCATAGGGCTCCCAACTAGTTGATCCACATGGCTAACAGTCAATCGAGTTCGTTCGCTAGTGACTTACTTGCGTGATCCAGTGAGTTCCAGCCTTCCTGCTCGATTGCCGGCATCGCCCGATCTAGAAAGCTCACATACAGTATTTGTCAAACTCGCGATTTTTCAAGCAACGATGCCCAGCGGAAACACTGACATGAGCCACAATCCGAACACTATGAACCTCCCATATCTCTCACCAAGGCCAGCTGAACTTGTGAGTCCGTTCAACCCTAATGACATACCCCTGTGCACTCTACATGACTCTTCCGTTCACAGAGGCGTTTAGTTCTCTCCTATCTGTGTCAACAATGTCATGCAAATACAGCCAGGGCGTTTATGAGAGATTTCCGACGCTTTGCGTGTGATGATCCTGATGGATCGAACTCGACCAGCGATGGGATGGAGTTCGGGTATGGGAAACGTCCGGTGGACCGGGACCTGAAGACTGGGAATGTTTTGCCTCACCCTGAAGTCTCCCGGGCTTCTCCCCCTCCCACTCGGCCCTCCCATCCTCATTCTATACAATCGATTGACGATGTAGCGTCTGCTCCCACCGAAGAAACCCAGACTGTAGACATGGACACTATTGCCATTCCAACGTCTGACATCCGCACTACCTTGGAAAATTTGTCCGAAGCTCCGAGACTAAAGGAACAAGATATCGACGAAGTAATGACCCCGCCACCAGGGGAAGGAGAAAATGCACTCCAGACTCGCTCAATTGAACAAGTTCTTTCTCGAGACCTCCCGGAGGACAGCATCCCTGCGAGTGACGAACCCCTGGCGTCAGACTCTATCAAGGCAGATTCAAAATCTGGAAATTCAGCCGATATCCCAGCCGGGCAATCAACAGAGTCCTTTCCGATCTCCGTTGAGGTCGAAAAGGTGCGAAGGGACGACGAGGCTGATCTAACTGAAGTCGAGTTGAGAAAAGGTAAGAGCCTTGCCTTGTTCCATGACTCGATCTAATGTCATCCCCAGAAATCCGAAAATGCATTCTCCAGGGTCATATTGCCGAAGCCACAGAGCTCCTCAACGCACACTTCCCAACTGTCTTGAACGAATCCGAACCTCAACCAAAACTCGAATTGAATATATCATCTTCTCCTCTCACTCACACTAGCCTAACGGCTCGCTCCCCCTCTGGACCCCCTTCGATGGCTCGCCCTTCATCTCCTACACTCAATTCAGCACCTTTTATTTTCCCCCACTCCCTAGAGCCTTCCCACCTCGCATTGAACCTTCGCATTCAAGGTTTCATCGAAGATGTTCGTACGAGGAGGCTGAACCCGCCTCCGCCTGTTCCTGCACGTATGAGCTTGTCCACTCCTTCCACCCCCGCATATAATCCCTTTAATCCCCCTATATTCTCACACGTTGCTTCGTCCCATCGTGAGCGAGACAACCAGCCTGCCGTGTTACGAAGCGCCCGAGATCTATTGCAAATGGCACAAAATTTGAGGAACGCCACGGACCGAGCAGTATATTTGAAAGAGCTCGACAACGTTTGGGCACTGATGGCATATCCTGAACCTGAGGCAACAGGCTTGATGCAGGTTTTGAAGTACATGCACTACGATAGGCGAGTAGCACTTGCGGATCAAATCAACAGTGCCGCCTTCCGTGAGTTCCGCCGCTCACTCACATGGTACGGCTCATCTGATTTCCATTGCTCATAGTGAGATCCGGGCAGAAACCTCGAACTACCATTGAGCACTACGTTCGATCTGCCGGCACTGTGTGGGGTTGGATGAATGAGAACGACGTACGAATTCCCAGCGACCCATCAAAGTATCCGCCTGGCGTAAGTCCACCACCCTCGCGTCCTCCTACTCTCAAGTTCCCTCCTTCCACTTCTGGCCCGGTAAGCCATGTTGATATGCTTTCTCCGTTCGTTTCGTTTAGCCCCCTCATCTTCTCAGAACCGGGATACGGTAATTGCTCCTCTGTTTGAATTCCAAAGGTTCTTGGCCACCAAATAGAAATTTGGGTCTCATGATGGCCCAGACGTGTTTCACGTTAAGCCGTACCCAAGGATGTATTCTTTCCATCTCACCCACTCGTGCCCACCGGTAGCTGACACGAACCCTTCCATACTTTTTTATGATTTTATGAGAACCTTCGGCTTGCTCACAGCTCGCAACAGAGTGTGCAGAGTGATTGAAATAGGTTGCATTAAATGGGAGTGGCCTACACATTAAGCAGACGGAGACGACTCCGTTCTTTTTGCTCCTATTCTGAGTGGCCTTTCATGATGCAACCGTTAGTACATTCTCAGTCCAAATGCTGGGTATCGGCAATCAAGTCGGGCTAGTCACCCACGACTCCCTCTAACTCGCTGTTAGAGAGCGTGGTGCTTCGTGCCCCTAACCGGTCTATGAATCATAGGGTGTGTTATGGTGGTGCGATGCTAGGGGACACTGTCGGAAGACCCGGAATTTCGTCTAATCGGTTCCGGCCAGGAGATACTTGGTGGAGACGGCCCATTTTGGGCCGGCAAGAAATGTGATTAAAAACAATAGCAACGTACAACAGCCAAATAAAGTACATGTCATGGATATCTAGTGCAAGTATCACAAGGGTCATCAGGAGGGTCATTTCAGATGATGTCGAACGCACGGCCTATCTAATTTAACATCAGACTCGGTGCTAGTCGCCCACGTGCAGCCCGTTGGCAATTGTCGGAAAATTGTTGGCCAGATGTCGTGATCATTTGTAAGTTAGATGAGTCGGGTTTTTGACAATTTCGATGCAGTGGGAAGGATTTATGATGCAATTATTAAAATTATCAAAAACGTATTCAGAGCGTTTCGGGGTGTTTAAAATGCCAAATTATGGGGTTTAAACATCAAATTTTGTGTTTTTAATGGATACTGCGGTTTTCCGACAATGGCTGACTTGTTGCTACCATCTGAGGATACCTGACTTAGTGCCGACACTCAACAATTGATGCTAAGTCCTACTCAGTTTCCTGCACTATAGTCTCGGTCCCAGGCCTTCTGGTCATGGATTTAAGCAGTGTTAACAACAGAGCTGTTCGGAAATAGAGTCGGTGATAACAATTCCATTCCTTGGTTCACTCCCAGAAGGCCTGGTATGTTGAAGGAGAGAATGAAGGAAGTCAGTTGGGAGGTTCTAACAAGACCACCACCAATCTGTTCCCTGGTTCTTTAGTTTGGATGGGGAAGTGTACTAGTAAATTTGTTGTAAATATAGTACTAATCCTAGCATTTTGGCTAATTCTGTTTTATGGGTTAGTCTAAAAGTCTCTGAGAAATGACTTACAGATGAACAAAACCCTGTGGAGCTGTTCCCTTGGTGTAATTTCTCAATTTGGAATTAAATCAATCTTCTACTTGGTGAATTTTCAAAGATTTTACTCTGTGAATGGTGTTAGATTGTATCTGAAGTGTCCCTTGGCCTTGTCTTATTTTTGTCTTGTTTTTATTGCTTGTTTTAACAGTAGCAATATACTGTTTTGTTTACACTTTTGAAATCTGGAGTGTTAACCAGCTCTCTGTCAGGGCCCGGCCTCGGACTCGGAGGCTCCCTGACCTCAGCCCCCATCTAACCTGTCCTCACACTATGTGGGGCATGAGATGTATAGTAAAAGAAAGGAATATATACACTTGCCTATGCAGGGCATGAGATGAGAAGAAGGGTAAAGGTCTCATCTCCCCGCATGGTTGCTATATAAAGGAATGGGTCACATGCCCACAACTATACAGCTCCTAGAGTTGTGTAGTGTGACCCGGAGGGAACATCCAGGTGGCAGTGCCCAGTAAGCGTGGGAACGTTCTGGGCGAGTTGCTCGCCCAGAACTGTGGCTGTGACCCGTGGGAACATTCTGGGCGAGCTGCTCGCTCAGAAAGTTCCCACGCTATCCCATGCGCGCGCGTGTACACAACACACAAAGGCAACAACAAGGCAACAGTCAAAGAATAAAAGGGGGTAAAGTAGGTGGGGAGTCCGGGGCACCCTAAGGCAGGGTGCTGAACCCTGACACTCTCCTGTTGAAATATTTACTTAATATTTCTCTCCTTGATTGCTGCCTTTTACTACAGTGGCAATCTTAACTGTATTTCACTTTTTCGTGCTGGAGTGATGCTTGAGAAAAATAATACTCTATTTTCTTACTTCTCTAAGGGGGGGTGTAAAGTCACAGAAAGGGTCTCCTTTTATACTCCTTAGGTCGCCTTCCTTTTTCACACTCTACCTCATATTTACAGGATTTATTTACAGTGTATTTTCCTCAAACTGAATAAAAAATGAACTTTTCACACTGTAGTTCTACTGCACTTGGCTGCGCTAAACTGCAGCCCTGCTGCAGTCAGACTGCACCTAGAATTCTCATTGTCCTTCCTCGTCTAAGCTATTTTAATGTTTTAATTAGAACTTGACAGTGTTGCATTTGTTGCAGTTTTTATTTCAAATTCTACTTGTTTACCATTAAGTTTGCCATTACTCGGTCATTCTGAATTCAGACTGTATGTTACTGCACATATGGCTGCACTATGACTTTCAGCAGATTGATCCTATTTTTATCCAGTGACATTTAGTAGAAATGTGATTTGAAATGTGTTAGAGTTCTCTCCTTTATTAGTGTATTTTTCCCTATTATTCCTGCCATGGTCCATCATGGTTTTGTGGTTTTTTGTGGTTTTTTGTCCATTTCCCCTGGTTCCCATTTGTATTCTTGCATCCTAATCCTCTGTAGGTATTATTTGTTGTTATACTAAGTCGTCCACAATGATAGCATATTTTTATGAATTTTATTCGGGGCTTGAGACCTCTAGAAGTTGTCTTCCTGTGCATCTTCAGGTTACCAACTTCATTTCCATATATCTCACTCATTTCTTTATGGTTTTTCACATTCTTAGCACCATAAATTTACATTTATTCCAACCTTTCTAACGATACTAAGGTCGTACTCTAACTCTCATTATTCGCCAAGTTAGCAAAAGTTCATGCACATGTTGGCAATCACTGTCATATCCTGGAATCCTGACCCCACACTTCCCCACCTCACTACACCTTCCTAACAACCTCACCATCTCCTACACCATTTCTCCCTACGGTCCCACCCCACCTCCACCCCTACTGTCTCGGCTCCACCCTGGACTTTGGCACACTCACCCTTAGCCATCTCCACCCCAGAAGCTCAGTCCCAAGTCAGAACCTTCAGAATCCCCAGATTGCTCTGACCTCCCAACCGATCCCCAACATTTTGTTATATACTTTTAAATCCTTCCTCTACCCATTTCATTTATTGGAGTCACCCAATATTTCTCAGATGTGTAACTCCGGCTTCAGAGCTATCCACATTCCTGTCAGGGCCTGGCCTCGGACTCGGAGGCTCCCTGACCTCAACCCCCATCTGACCTGTCCTCACACTATGCAGGGCATGAGATGTATAGTAAAAGAAAGTGAGATATGTACACTTGCCTATGCGGGGCATGAGATGAGAAGAAGGGTAAAGGTCTCATCTCCCTGCATGGTTGCTATATAAAGGAATGGGTCACATGCCCACAACTATACAAACAACAAGGCAACAATCAAAGAACAAAGGGAGTGAAGTAGGTGGGGAGTCCGGGGCACCCTAAGGCAGGGTGCTGAACCCTGACAATTCCTTGGCAACTCCACCCTTCACCATCTTGATTAGTCATCACCCACTTCTAGCACAGCTGACATCTTCTTTTCATTCAGTCAGCTAACTCCCCCTTACCCACTTTTCATTTCCATTTATTCCCCAGCCTCCTACTCCACCCTCCTCGACCTGACACCTTGGTCCCTGTTGAAGATACCCTTCAGAACCTTTCAGTATCTTTTGGTACCTTTTTGTAAGGTCGGTTGAGGTTCTGACCTTGGTGTTGACTCTTGCTATCCTCAAGCTGTCAGAAATTAGGCAGTATAGAGCTTTATTTCGACAGGGGAGGAGAAGAGTGAAAACCTGTTTCACCCTTCCCCGCAATTTATATACATTGTTTACATCGAGAAATAAAGAGTAATAAACAATGAATAAAGAAAGCGTGCACAGCACGCATCGCCACACATCCATTCCCTACACTTTTGGTATCATTTGGACTTTAACTAAAGTCCTCTCCCCCACTTTATTATATATACCTGTAGATTAGAACCCATTGTACGTTAGTTCTAATCTCGACTAAACTTCACCCCCAAACTCCCCTACAAGTGTTTTGTGTTTCCCCTCTTACAAGATACATCAGCCATCTGAAACTAAGACATAATGGAGGCACAGCACTCCCCTCTGAGTCGCTGAGGCCATGTCCTTCTCAGACTCTTGTACTAGCCAGCAGACTCAAGCTTCCCAGAGAAGCTTCGGTCCACTACCTGATCTCCTGGAACCCCCTAGTTGAGCCCCATCTGCACCCCAAATTGGCATGTTTGACAATCATGTGTGTTGTTCTCATACTCATTTGTACACAGGCAATGTTTGTGTTTAATTATTTGGGATTTATTGTATGCATGAGCATTTGTAACCTTAATACAGGCTTTCATGATTTATTTCAGATTTTTGGGTGATGTTCTAAGGTGTTTTTGCATTTTCCATGCTTTGTTTTGACCGGAGTCTTCCATATTTGGGCAGAAATTGGTCTTTGCAATCTCCCAAAGTGCAGGTCTCGGTTCTGATGGTGCCACCCTCACATGTCCTTTGACATAGTGTGGGATACTCTATTCCTGTCACTGGCATAACTTCACAATGACTGGGCTGATTGGCCTGAAACTTTGCATAGTGCTACAGTGTAGATTGATTATTCATGGCAGCTCTGCAATGAAAAATCCTACTAGACAACTTCACCTCAAATTAAAATTCTACTATAAAAACAGTGGATAATGTAATTTTCTACCAGGTCTGAAAATTTGGTATGACTGCCAATTTTTTTTAAAACTAATTTCTATTTTTGGAAGGTGGAGGTAAGGAACAAATGGAAGTCTGAAATTAGTTATCAAAAAGACTTTGTTTTATTCGTCTATGGGATTTGTATTTCTGAACTGCATACTCAGCCTGTGCCCCTGTAAGACCTTTTCTATGTAGGGAATGTTAATAAGCAAATGGACAAAATTAAGTACTCACTCATATGCATCCATATAGCACCAGGTTTTATGGAAAAAGCGATGGATTGTTACAATGTCACAGGAATCCAAGCACTGTGGAATCAGAGCTTTTGCAGATTTAAACTTCCCATCCATTGCAGCTCTGTATCCTGAAGAGCTTACATATTAGAAAATGAGATCAATCAAGAAATTGATTTGACTCACGATATTTTGCATACCCCCAGTACATTTCAATTGGGTTAAGCTCACAGTGAAACTTCGGTAGGAATAAGCAGATGTGGCCCTGCTCCTCTCCATATTGCTGAAGAAGTGGCCGTTCACTCTTGAAGTCAGATTGCAGGGATAGAACACACATCATACAGCACTGTCATATCCGTGCATACCCGACCCTGACCCGACTTCCAGACCTCCACCCTCTTCACCTCCGGAGTCATAACCTACCGCTGCCGTTCCGATACTCACCTTCGGTCCTGGCAACACACCTCCTCCTTACCTCTCACCACCCTCCTACTACTCCGCTCCCCCTTCACAACACCTCCACCCTCCCGTTATCCTCCTACGCTTCCCCCATCTGCTCCGATACTCACCTTCGGACCTGACTACTCTCCTTTCCGCCACTCCTTCTTACCTTACCTGTCCCCTCTCTCCTCCCTCCGTTACTCCTCCGCCACCCTTCCGCCAAGTTACGACCTTCCACCGCTGTTCCATACTTCGCACTCAGACACCGCTCGTACCTTACTCCGAGCCTCCATCATAGTCCCCACCTCGGACTTTGACTCCACCTCGGCCTTAGTCCATTGCATTGGTGACCTCATACTACGTAAACACCATTGCCAATATTCCTCGGACTTCCAACCCCGCCTCCGTAACCTCCGTAAGCTCCACAACCCCCGAGCTTTGCAGACCGCCTTCGGCACTCTCGCCGCCTGTAATGTATTTCTCGCGTTTTCCCTTCATCCCTATTTGGACTACTGCTTCTTTCTATTCTAGCCAGTTAGTCATCATCCCCACTTCCCCTCATCCTCCTGCCCCTCTGGGCCTCGCCCTCTCTACCTCCTTTCGGACGTATCACAGGTCTTGCCCTATGACCTTCGGTACCGCTCCGCTCCCTCTACCCTTTGTTCCTGTTCGGACGTCTTCGTTCCGATTCGGTCACCCTTTGTTCTCTTTGTGCTTTTGCCCCTTCCATTATATATATCGGCGCTTGTACATACTCGTTTTGGTTTAGTCCAAAATCGACCTGAAATGCCCCCAAGAGACTTCCTGCTCACCTACTGTGAAATTAAGGACCAAATGGACAAACAGCAATGGCACAGCGCTCCGCTTGAGTCGCTGAGGCCAAGGTCCCTCCACGCTAAGTCTCTGATTCCACTCCGGAGTCGTCCGTTTCCGCCCCATTCTAACAAGCACCAGTCAGGCCGTAGTGGGGTCATCCAGTGCATCTGACAGTGGGATGTCCTCTACTTCCTCACCAGTTGCCACTACAGCAGAAATGCATGCTTCTGCATCTTTTGCAGCTTGAGACTTTTGGCACTGCTTGCAGGCCCCAATTGGCTTCCCATTTAGACTTTCGGCAACAAGTTTCCTCCACACACTTTGGTGCTCCTGCAACACAATGTGCATTCCTTTAGGCTTTCCTTGCAGCCCAGCAGGGATGCTTGGGTCATCTGGGTAGACCATTAGCTGTACTTGGCCATGAGTATCTTCCTCATTTGGTAATGGGGGTGGGTTGTCGAGTGGGATGATGGTTGGTCACATTGTTTTCTGTTTTCCACCTGGATTCACATTCACTGTTAGAATGGGCGGATTCGGACGACTCCGGAGTGGAATCGGAGACTGTCAGAGACCAGATTTAAGACGAAAGAATGTCTCCGTAACGGAGGGCTTTGGCCTCAGCGACTTCTGCCAGGAGCGCTGTGCCTAGTGACACGTCCGTGCCCTAACTTACTGACTGGCGCTTAGAACCTAGTGGGGGTAACTCTAGTTGATTTATCTGCTGGGGCGTAACCTATGTACAAGTAGTGTATATATATGGTTACAGCGGAGACGGTTCCGCAATTGGCGGAGCCGGACGGAGCGGAGCTAACGGGGTTAAGACATTAGCCGACTGAATATTACCGACGAGTCGGTTCGCGGGGTTAGCGGAAAGGCAGGCGTTAACCCAGAAACGGAAAGGAGGGATAAGCCCGAAGGTGGACTCTGCAGGGCAGGCGAGTGTATTGCCCAGCGGAGGCGGGAGTGCGCTAGCGGACGTCGGAGCTGTCCGGAAGTCTTTGGGGCTCCGTACTTAGGGAGGCGTAGGTAATAAATTGAAATGAGGGGGTGGTGACCATCGAGGGGTACCGGGAGGTTTGCGGAATACGGGGGCTCCGAGGTTGGTGAGGGGGAAGCGGAGTTAGAACGGAAGGGTCGGAGAGCCCGGAAGTCGATGGCCGGGAATGGATATGACAGAGACTTAGCGTGGAAGGACCTCGGCCTCAGTGACTCATGCGGAGCGCTGTGCCATTGCTGGTTGTCCTAGGGGTCCCTAATTTCGGATCTAGCAGAGGGAAAGTCTCTTGGGGGGAATTCATGTCGATTTCAGACTGAGGTTACAAGTTACTAGGTACATTGTATATAAGGAGGGGTCCGGAATCAAAAGGAACAAGGGTAGGACAAAAGAAGACAAAGGGAGATGGAAAGAGGAACAACACCGAGGGTCAAGTGTTTGACTCAATGGTGTTTCCCAAAGGAGGAATGAAGGGCCAAGACCCAAGAAGGAAGGAAGGAGGATGGGAGTCGGGAATGGCTAGCTGACTGAATAGAAAGGAAGCAGCAGCCCAAATAGGAATGAGGGAGAATAGCGGAATTGAAATGGACAATGCAATAGTTGCAAGGTCCGGAGTAAGTCCGGAAAGTCCGAACTCGGAGGTTAAACTCCGGAATATTGGCAAAGGTAATTAAATGGAATGAGCTAACCAATACAATGGGTATAAGTGGAGGTGGGGTCAAAGTCCGAGGTCGGAACTAAGACCGGAGGTTCCGGAGACGAGATGTGAACGGGATACTGGAGCGGAGGTCCGGAGTCGGGAGCATAGGTTTTGCGTACTCGTCTGGAAGGTGTCGAGGTTGGGGTCGGACCCGGAATGTTCCAGAGTCGGACCAAAGGTGGTGTCTGAGCTGGAGGTGGGATAACCTCTTGGGAGTCAGCAAGGAGAAAGTGATGGAAGGGAAGTAGGGCTCTGGAAGTCGGAGTTCGGAGTTCCAGGAGCCCGGAGCGGAGGTTGGGATTGTATGGATATGACATTCACATTCAACACATTGGGGGCAAATCCCTCATGGCTTGAAGAGCAGTCAAATATCCATACTCTGACACAGTCTGGGTGTTTGAACTCAAATAGATCAATTGCATCCTTCATGTCATATCCATACAACTCCGGACCTCTGCTCCTGATTCTGGACCTCCATCTCCTCCTCCAGAACTCCACATCCTCCTCCTCCTCCTCCCCCTGTTGGTTGTTGAGAGCCCACTCTACCTCTGGCTCCAACACAACGTCCAACACTACCTCCGGTCCGACTCCAGTTTACTCCAGGTCCAATCCCAACCTCATACCTTCCAGACCAGAGCTTGTGATGCTCCACACCTCCAGCTCCGGACTCCTGCACTGGAACCCCATCGCACCTCCACCTCTGGAACTCTGGTCACATCTCCAGTACTTGACCTCCTCCATCTTATCTCCTTGTATTCCTTATTGCATTTCATTTATTATGTCTAGCCAATATTCCGGACTTTGACTTCCGACTCCAGACCTCTGGAACTTACTCCGGACCCCGAAGGCTGAAGGGTCTGGAAGCAAAAGGGAACAAAGAGTGGGGTTGGCCACACAGTGGCAGGCAATGACCGAGGGTCAAAACAGATAAATAAACAAAGGGGTGTAGGGCTGCGATAGCGGTGATGGCAATGGTATCGGTGCTGGACTCAGAGTTGGGCACGGGAATGGTAGTGGCCCTGTAGGGGCCAAGTGGGCAGGGTAGAGGAGTCACGCTGGGCATGGTGCCGGAGGTGGGCTCAAGGCGGGGAGGTTGGTGTGGCAGTGGGGGAGTTGGTCTAGCATTGGGGAACCACAGGCAAGTGGGGAGTGAGCAGGGAGTCCTCAAGGAGAATAGGGATGAGGGTTGGGGCTTGCGTGCTCACACTCATGCAGTGGGAACAGGCACAGGCAGCATTGGGACAGGCAGGGAACGGGCCAGAATGCATGGCCATGACAGGAAGGGTGAAACTGGGTTTCACTCTTCTCCTCCCCTGTCTAAAATATCAACTCTATACTGCCTATTTCCAGACAGCTTGAGGATAGCAGGAGTCAACACTAAGGTCGGAACCTCAACCAACCTTTCACTGGAACAGATGCTGTAACTGTTCCATGTGTACTGCTGCAACCACCCAACTTTGATTGAAAGTAAAGGTTGGATGATTGCCTCTGAGTGGGTTGCAATTGCATGGAATCATGGATGGCCATATGCATCCACTTTACAAAAGTGGTGTCAGGAATTTTTGAGAGTCTCCAAAACTATCCCAACAAATCCATATGGGAAGTGGAATGTATCAATACTCATCAATATCAGGGATGAAATAGAGGCTCACCTTCAAAAGGCCACACCCCAAAAAGCCACTTACAGCTACAAGCAAACTGCCAGCAGACTTGTGGTACCCTAGTATCTGGTGGGTGCTCATGAGGATGAGGGGGATCCATCCCAAGAAAAGGGGTGGAGGGAGGGAAAAGGGGAAATATGATGCCAACAAACATTTGATGAACAAAGTGTCCTGACATCGAGGTTAAATTTGCCAATACTGATATGAAACACCACATGTCACGTACAGCCCCCCCAACTCTCAAATGTGGGCAGGCCTTCCTGCACAAGCATCTGAGAGGGAAAAACCTCTCCCAGGACAGACTTAGTTTTTTTGTTCCCTGGACCTGGACGCATTTCTTGTTGGGAGGAACTTAGAAACTACGCTACTTCGGGTATCTTGAGTCATCGGCGGATGGGCGGCCCCAAAGGCACCGAGCCTGACATGGAAAGATCTCGCAAAAGTCTTGGGTCGGCCTGAATCGGAAAACATCGTCCCAGGGAGGGCGGGCGGAAGGGGAGGCTATGCCCTTGTTCGGTACGTTGATTTTGTGGGGTGAATGCACGTTTTGTTGGTGGGAGCTAGCAAAAAAAACTAGATTGCTTTGGGGGTTCTCGAGTATTTGACAAGGGTGTTTCCCATTTAAACGAGACTGACGACGATAGCTGGGTACTGAGGTGCGAGCCTAACAAGCCAACACCTCTCGTCTGGAGGTACGGGTGCCGCATCCTAATCAGTAACTAATCAGTAACCGACTATGGAATCCTCCCACATTTCACTCACAAATCGCATTGATGCTCCCCCGCTTCGATGGAACCACACTTGAGCCACGCATGAATAGAGGGGATAAAATAATTCAAGATCAAGACATCAAATGAGAGCACTCGGACAGAGTGTGACGTTAGAGCACAAGTAACTCATCGACAGATCCTCAGCTTCTCAGAACGGGATGGCTGATACAAGCATTGGACTTACCCAAACAAACCTTCATGATCCTCAATTGATCATAGGCATCGGGCGAGGCTGTTCATGCCGCAATGGACAGAACCAGTCAAATGAATGCTGATTGCCCTCATGCCATAATCCGGTATGTATGCGTGATCATATATGTACGTCCTCGGTCGGAGTTCCCCTGCAAGAGTTGGAATGATTGAGGGCTAGATCACTCATGTATGGAAAGAACATGTAGGGTAAATAATCAAGCACGAAATTGAGCGGTCGCTAGAAATGATCGGCGTGCCAGCAACCACCGTCGAATTCCAGAACGGTAACATTCTCCTATGGTTATGGAAGCATGCTGACCCTGGTCGAGGACCTGTATTGCCAGCCAACAGACGGCAAACCTCGAGGCGCAACTGATCGGCCCTGGAAATCCGCTGCGGAAAAGATTCTCGCCGGCTGAATTGAGTAACACCAAGATGCTGGTGCAAAGCAAGAAGGCACAAGGGAGAGGATGCAGGGAACAGACCCAAACGAGGAACATCAAGCCACAACGACTGAATCGAAGTGTTTTGTGGCAGCACATGGAATTGTCGCAAGTCCGTGCAAGGGCAGCATGCAAGGCAGGGTCGCTGGCGAAGGGTGAGAGGCAGATAAGATTCTACGTTTGATGGACATGACAGGATAGCGCAAGGATGACCGCTGAGGAGAGGCTCCTCGTTGGATACACGCTCTACCTAGGCAAAAAATGCGCCAACGGGGAATGAAACCCACGGAGAGAAGACGGAGAATTGACGACTACGCCGAGGTCTCTCCTCGGAAACGAAATAATTATAAATTAGACGTTCACTCTCATTTTTTAGTTTCTAACGGTCAAGAATGATCGGGCATAGTATGAAACCCGTCAAAAACGATGAATGGAAGAGGAGAAAGGCAAGTGCGGAGGTAGAGCAACTCTATGGTGGCGAGAGTGAGCAAGGAGAATTCCGAAAATGGAATAAGGAGTCGATAACAATTCATTCGAACAGGCCCATTTGCGTCGAACTTGAAGTCTGTATTAGAATTACCATCCAATTCTGGTCCTCGCCCGTATAAATACCATGCTCTCCATTCCACCTTGTCCCGTCTCACCACGCTGCCCAATAGCGTCCTCCTGGCCTCCCCGCTCAGCACGTTCCACCCGAACACTACCTTTCGAACAGTCCACACGTTCTCTGAGCTCCCGTTGCGGCGATTCCACCTTTTCCCGCCGCACAAAACGCCTGCGGAGTTTAGTGGACTTGTTTCACTCCTCATAGCCAATGCCTCGCTTCCCCAACGACCTCGTCCTCGATATCTTGGACGCGCTTATCGAACCGGGCTCTGACCTTCTGACACCACACCAGTCTTCCCTCGATGCTCTACGGAATTGTTCTTTGGTCTGTCGCGAATGGACTCTCCCTGCTCAAAAACGTCTCGTAAGTGCTTCTGAAATCCTCTTTTGGGGCTGCCGCCAGCCCAGACCTGAACTGAGCACATTCCAGTTCCGAACGATTGCTCTTGATCATCCCTCAAGAAATATACTTGCTCGATTCCGCTCCCTCCATGCTGCCATCGCCACTCCTATATCCAAGTCTCACATTCTTGCAAATTCCATTCGCTCCGTTACCATGCTTGAGTGTCCAACCTTTATGGATCCGTCGCGGCATCCACTGCTTCGCATTAACCCAATTGAGTTTGCCCAGTTCCTTGTGACGTGCCCTAACATCGAACGCGTCCGAGTCAAGTCTGGACTCCTGCAATTCAATGCCGAGTCCTTGGGGATCCTGAGAAGTGCGATGGGTAGTGATACAGACGGTCGTTTTGGAAATCGGATCACTGAACTGTGTGTGCAGGAGGAGCGATCCTGGCATCGACAGGCGGTCCAAAGTCTCTTCACAGAGGGTATCTTTGCAAATGTGTCACGTTTTTCGTGGGTGATTTTCGAGAATGAAACGACGCTTTACACGGAAACGCTCCCCTCTCGCGACGGGCCGATCAACGCACATTCATCGGGCGATGTACGCACACCCTGGATCATGCCAAACAAACTCACAAGCCTCGCGCTTGACGTACGCCAGAGATCTCCTTTCCTTGGCTTCCTTTGCGCGCTACTTCACTCTTCTGTTAAAAGTATTCATGAACTCAAGTTGTCGACCGTTCCGCATTCCGCAATCGTCCACGCGGAGACGAACCCTAATCCATGGACCACTCGGTCCCAAACTGTCAACATATCTTCATTCAAGGACGTATTGCGTCTTATTGGGCCTAATCTTCGCTCGCTTTCATTGGGTTCCCAGTCGGGCCTCGACGTTAGCAATTTAGACGCCTATCAAGCTCAAACTTCTAATGAATCACCCTCGCCCCCAAACCCGCAAACTCCAACTTATTTGTTCGACCCAATAGCGCTTTCATCGCTCACCCCAAACTTACAGGCACTTGAATTTACTTCTTGCCCCCTCACACACTATCTTCTTTCGCTTTCCACCCCTTCCTTCTCTCCGTGCTACGCTTCCCGTCTCCCACATACGCTCAAAACGCTCTCACTCTGCTCCCCCAAGGGGAGTCAACTGCCGTCGATGTTCGCGATATCCCTTGATATCCTTTCTACCGTGATCGAATCTCAGTCTGCACTTGATGTTGTTGCGCTCGAACAGGTTGTGCTTCGTGCTCCGAGCACGACGCTTGAGAAGGACGACGTAAAGGAAAATTTGAACATGTTAGAAGGTATATGCGCCGCGAGGAGGGTTCGGGTTCTTGTCGAGGCTGAATGACTGTCGAGCGATGATCCGACGTTCGCTCTCTTGCTAGATGAAGTTTTCTCTCATCGTGGTAAAGCATAGCTGGCGTGTCGATCGTTTGTTGATAGCCACTTTTTTTTTGCTGTGAACTTATCTCATTCGTGTCTCCATTGGGCGCTAGGGGCTGATGTGTAGAATATCGTGTTTCGGCCGTTGGGTTCTGGCTGCGTGCACTTTATGAGTGGCGCCAGGACTGCTTTCATGTTTGAAAGCTTCGGGGTATTTGGGTGGCTACTACTCTCAGTTCAAAAAGATACTTTCGTACCATTTGATTTGTTCCTGACATTTTTTTCTGTTCGATTCTTGTATCATCATGTGCATTGTCATCGTCATCGTCATCGTCATCATCACCATCATCACCATCACCATCTTGTTATCCAATATGTATCCTGTATCCTACATAATGCATTCCCTTGTTCTGTTTAGGTTTTTCGTTGATTCTTGGTGGCCAGGAAAATTGGTGTTCTCCCAGGGACTGGCTGTACGTAGCACATGACCGTAATACTTACTGTCCTTTATCGCAGGTTGAGATCGACCATTCACACGATTGACCCATGTAGCTGGCAATCCCTAGTTGCTATTCCCGACTGGTGACTTCCTCCACGTGTGCAATGATCTAGGAGGATGATTAAATATCGGTAACTGGGAGAGCGAAAGCAACGTTTGTCCGCTTATAGCTTCTACTAACTGGGGCCCCAGATGACTATAGTGGATACCTAGTAGGATCCTGCCTAGCCTCAGATCGGAACAACAGCTGCCAAGCTCATATACCTTGAAGATCAATAAAGGGACACATCACTCTTCTGCGTCCCCTACGATGAACAGAAGTGGCGCTTGCGCTGGTTACAGTGATACGTACCCTCGGGATTGCCCAACTTCCAAAATGCAATTCTCGATTCACCCTCCCAGCACAACGGAGGCAACATTCGGCGGTTTTCCACGGTGTGCGCCTAATTGGTCTTTCGTCTACTCGCACACAGTAAGTATTAAGTAAACCCACGCATGTGCTAATTCGTCAACGCAGTTGTGATTGGATGATACTTGTACAATCGGAAGGCCGTGTCATGTCAATCGGTATGAAAGTGCATAGAGAACTCGCAGCGTCCGAGTGATCCTCAATGCGCCCAGCTCAGGACTCTGCGCAAATGGTAACCGCGCAATCTTCGGTGTCGAAGCGTTGCACCTGAGCAGAGTAGCCAATGCACAAGTATATCATCGTCTCGACGCCTTTGTATCAAAGAGAAGCCGCGCCAGGCAGCGGCACTTGTGCCAAACGTTAAGGAAGTTTTCTCGGCTAAAAGTTGACGCGTGCGTGACGCTAATCAGTCGGGATCTGCGGTAGCGGGCGCGGCCGATCAAGGATAACGCGGCAGCACGGCGGTTTACGCAGGCCAACGGTGTTGAGCCTTACAAAGAAATTCAGACGAAACGGGAGGAATAAACAAATAAAAAAAATAACGCCGAGGACAAACAAAAGGTTCATTACCAAAAACAAGGAACGCAGGTTATGAGCTAAGGAGTAATCCACCAGTCAACTAACACAAGCGCGAGCACGATCGATGAGTGGATGGCCAAAGCTAATCAAGTCATTCAAGAGGATATTACCCCGAGTTGCGCCAATTGTTTAGCCCGTGTGCCTGATCTTGTGACCAAAGATTCTCGATTCGGCTGTGTCCGGCATGCCTCGAGACTTCCAATCCATGTTTGCTGGGACAGGTGAACTATGGCTGAGACGCCTAGAGAGAGCAAATAGGCTAACAAATGGGGAAATACTTCTTCACAGTGGTGGTTGGGCTTTTGGCAATTGCACTTGGTTATCACCTCGGTTTCCGAGTCGCGCTGATCAGGTCCTCCCCTGTCGGCAGCGGTCCACCCACTACTCCTAAGGGCGCAAAAAAGACACGCTTTGCTGAGATGGATACGCAGGAATCGGGCTCCGAGGATGAGGAACCTTTGGAAGGGTTATCTTCTGTCAAAGCTGGAATTTTTGAAGAATGCAAACTGGTACGCAATACATTTCGTGCTTCTGCGTCATGTGGATGTGACACGTTGGGATAACTTATTGTGTGTTTTTATAGGTTTTAGTGGTGCGAACGGACCTGGGGATGACAAGGGGAAAGATTGCAGCACAATGCGGGTTAGCATCATCTGCCTCTATTTCGATAGTGTCTGATTGACCTGTGATCTTTCTGCCTTTCAACCACGGCTGATTCGCCATTTCGCAACCGCACACATATCAGCCATGCAACTTTAGCGTGTTACAAAACCCTGTTGAAGTCAAATCCGGCGGTACGTCAATACTTCATATTTGCTCACCGAAGGAAGGCGGCTGATCTTCGCCGCTCACTGGTCATGGGCCACATTTCACTCTACTTGTTTGTCGACTGTGATACTGATTTCTTCCAGCTTCTTGAGCACTGGGAACGTACGGGACAAGCAAAAATCGCGCTACGGTGTGATTCAGAGGAGGAACTTCTTTTGTTGCAGGCAACAGCTCAGAGTTTGAACATCTGTGCCAACTCAATTCAGGATGCGTATGTTACTATCTCAACCTCACGTTGATGGCTTGACCTAAATGCTATCACCATACATATCTAATACTCCAGGGGTCGGACGCAGATCGCGGCGGGTTCCACAACAGTACTTGGAATTGGACCAGGTAAGCCACTTTGTCCACCTCGGCACCATGGATGAATGTTTATCCGCTTTCAGCACCGGTGAAGCTGATTAATCAGGTCACCGGGCATCTAAAATTGCTATAATATAGACTGTATGACTGCTCATTGCCGAACGATTATTTCTCGACCCAATCCTGCATGGGTATCCATGACTATTCGTTCTGGACCTGGAAGTACATTAAGGATAGCCTGAAGGCTCTCTATACGTAACTGGGGAGATGATTGCTCGGCCACTCCTAACATTCGCGCTGACCCCTTTACTGCACATGCCTATTCATCCGACCCGACAGTGGCCGTGTGGAGAACGTGGCTTGATAATGGGCAAGTTTCTCCATGCTTGCCTTATTGTTTTTTGTGATGTCAGATTAGTGGCGTCAGACGTGTGCATGCCAGAACCTTATATATGGCACCCTTCAGCGGCACAAGGTCCAGCAAGACAACTCATGACATCCGAAGGATGTCACACCACAGGCGAAGAGATCTTCAAGATGTGCTCAATGGCAAACATGGTGAGTTGCCTTGCTAGGGCTCGAGATGAGATTCGTCTAACTCTTAGTTGTAATTACTGGTGTTGCTCCAGGGTCTGGGTACGTGGATCGAGGCTTGAATGCTTGATTTCCATTTAGATGAGATGGTCAAGGTCATCCAGCAAGAAACGCCTTCTGCAAATATTCGAACTGCAGTTCTGGATCTGGGATCTTTTGGGTATCCTAAATCACCCAACCAGTCCATGGATCTTCGAGCAGCTTCGTCCCCTTCGTCCCCTTCCTGAGTAGTCAACCTCTCCAGCGAAATTCATAAACTCGCATCCAATTATGCCTAGATTTTGTCGAGCGTCCCGAAGAGTTTTCACGTTGGGATGACCATGGGCATGCGAAAGTAGCGAAATTCTTGCACACACGGGAATTCACAAAGATGATGGGATTTTGGTATCCTCCCTCCGTCCTGGATGAATCATTCAAAATCGGAGATTCTTCTGGACGTCGCTACAGAGGATGGGTTGAGTAAGTATCCAGACTTTTGGAACACCCTGACTGAAGTGAGTAGGACTCGAAGTTGGCAGTTAAACCAATAACTTTGGATTCGTGCATAGGGCCATCACTGCAGCATCCCTCCATTGCAGAACACAGTAGGGAGATTGGCAAGCTGTGCCCTGGGAAAAACCGTCTCCTTTCATGAGTGAGGTAGGTTCCAAGTGCTCCTGTCTTCTACATCGGTATGGATCTTGCAATATTATAGAAGAATGGAAGCACCTTGTGGAAGTTGGCGAAAAGCCCTAAGAATTATACATGTATTTATTCCAGCATGGTCCAGTCAATGCCACTCAATCACGCAGCATACTCAAGGATGCGGATAGGTTCAATTGGAGCGTAGGACCCTAGCTTGATGACAAGTATAGGTGATTTTCTTAAAAGAGCGGGATTTAAGCTCGGTTAGTCATAATGCATGAAGAACCACATGCGAAATCCCAGACTCCCTCACTTTCCTTCACTCCATTGGCCGAGCTCGCGAGGCTTTTGTTTCCTGAGGGGGTTTTTTACCATGGGAATCCATATGGCTGGGGACAGTCAGTAAATTTGTATTGAAATAAGAATTATTGTTGTTTAGGTGCTGCAAGCTCAACCATCCAGTTTGAGGGGAAACCCTCATAACAGAAGTGGCCTGGTTTTCGTGTATTTAGTCCAAAGACAGCCTGAAGCAGGGTTGTCCATTTTCCAGCCTGTGCAGTGTTAGAAGTTGCAGCCCAATGCCACTGGTGGTCAAGGAGTCACCGGGCCGGACATTCACGCTTTGGGAAGGGGAGGGGCGCTTTGAGGCACAAACGGCGGCAACCTCTTTGACTCTTTGTCTTTGCGCTTTTGTTTTCAACTTGTTGTTTACCACTCATGTTTCACCTCAGTGGTGTAGAATCATTACAAGATGTATATAAGGACCGGACTTGCGCTAGCAGCTGATACCTCACTAATTGAGGTATCGCGCTGCACAGGCAAGTCCGTCCATGTTAGAACGGGCGGATTCAGACAACTCCGGAGTGGAATCGGAGACTTAGCGTGGAGGGACCTTGGCCTCAGCGACTCAAGTGGAGCGCTGTGCCATTGCTGTTTGTCCATTTGGTCCTTAATTTCACAGTAGGCGAGCAGGAAGTCTCTAGGGGGCATTTCAGGTGGATTTCAGACTGAGCCTGCTACGAGTATGTACAAGCACCGATATATAATGGAGGGGGCAAAAGCACAAGGAAA